TCTATCTGTCTATCTGTCTGTCTATCTATCTGTCTATCTGTCTGTCTGCCTGTCTGCCTGTCTATCTGTCTATCAGTCTATCTGTCTATCTGTCTATCTGTCTATCTGTCTGTCTGTCTGTCTGTCTGTCTATCTGTCTATCTGTCTGTCTGCCTGCCTGCCTGCCTGCCTGTCTGTCTCTGTCTGTCTGTCTGTCTGTCTGTCTGTCTGGTCATGCTGAAGTTATGAGCACCAGGGAAAATGTATTGTATTGTTTCCTGACATTTGTTTTCTGCATGACAATAATATGAAGAGAACCGATAATGACAATAATTCACGAAGATAATTAAATATTAATATGTATATATACCCAGTGAAACTAAAAACATTTAAAACTTTTAATTTTAGTTATAAATAGAACAATTATGTTCTCCTTGTGCAAGTGAAAAATACACATTCTGAATATATGTGTATTTAATTAATTTACCATTAGTGAAACAAAAAATACAGTCAGATAAATCTAAAGTCTTACTGTAAAACTATCAAAAGTGTACGTCATGTAAACACTCTCATTGTCTTATTGTTTCTATAAAAAAAACGTCTGATTGAGCAAGTGTTTTTTACAGGCTAGAAAGTCTTCAATAAAAGTCCACAAATATTGTAGCGTGTGTGTGTGTGTGTGTGTGTTTAGGTGAATCTCACAAAATACACCAAAATCGAAAGAATAAAATCATATTTTGTACATTTTTGAAAATAGATTAATTTATTAAGACATAAATAACATTAATTAAAATATATAAAAAATATTTAATGTAAAAGTCCAGGTACCACCAAAAAAAAAAGTAATCATATTTTGCACATTAAAATGTAAAACATATAAAATTAAAATAGATAAAGATGTATAATCATTTAAATATATTCGTTTTTCTCAGTCGCTTTGGTGCATTTCTCGGATCAGAAATGAATTCCCAAAACTACTTGTTCAACCTCCACATCATCTAATCAATTGTGCACATCATAAAAGCAGTTTTTCATTCTTTTGAACAAGTTGCGATTGCTTTGGTACATTCATGCAATTGATTATGTAAATTTGTCTGCAGTTACATTATCAGTTGCTAATGTCATGTTGCTCAAAATGTATTATATAGTTCTCTGTGCAGCATTCTTACCCCCCAAAACATCTAGGCATTAGTTCATTGTATAAGTCATTAAATGGTGGATCTAGTTGTCATAAACTGTCAAGCATATTTTCTACACATTTCGATTAGACTTTTTGTAAATTTGCCATGAATTGTGCAGGTGACTCTTGACTTTCACTAATAAAGAGAATAAGGATCATGATAAAGCAGTTCTCTGAAATTGCCCAAAGGTGCATCTCATGAACCTTTCCTTGGAAAGCATACATAGAGAGAGAACAACACAAGAATTACAAATTCTGACAATGGATATTTCCTCCCCGTTGGCCTGGCAAATCAACAGTAGCTCTATGGTCAATGACATTCCAAACCACACCTTCTGCTTTTGGTCAGGTTGAAGCCAGCCTCATCCACATATATGAAGTTGTGAGATGGTTCACTTGACTCCAATTCCACGGTGCATTGCAAGGGAAGATATTCATTATGATATAGATGAGAATCTGTGGGCCGACAGACTGGCACGTCAGGAGGTGTAGACAGACTGCACTGCAATTCCTCAAACAGTGCTGCAGGCAAAAGCTAAGTTTCCTGTGTTTGCCTTTCAAATTTTTTATTTTGCCTTTGTGCCCATATTTCTTTTCTATATCACAATGACGTAATGTTTTTTTTTTGTCAGACCACTAGTAAAGTGTAACTGTGAATCCTGTCCAGTCTCTTTCAATCAATATCCCACATACAGTAGTGTGTAAATGTGTACTTTTGAAATGGATATATGGCATACATAAGAAGTGCAGCCTTCTGCATTTCAATACAGTAACTGTCATCCAAACTGTTGCCATAGTTTACATCAGGTAATACTAACAAAGTGCACTGTTATATTGACATCATGAATAAGCATTTTGACTATCTTGTTTGTGACTTTTCATTCTGATGGCACTGATATGTGCACTGACATAAATACTTACTTTTGAGAGATGAACTAAAGATTGTGAGTAAGTTACAGGCTTTTGCAGGTAATCCATAGTGTGGTGCTGTTTGTACAAATTGTTTTGAGAAATGCACATACTTCTTTGCAAATATTAAGGATGATTCGAGAAATGCACCAAAGCGACTGAGAACAACTGTAGCAGAAAAGCTTTAAATCAAAATGCCCAGGTGCCATAAACCATAATCAAAAGAAAAAAAATGAAATTCTACTTTGCATTTTTAAATGTAAAATACATTATATTAAATTAAAATATTAATATGCATAATAGAAATTAAAATTCATTAAAATGCTCCAGGTGCATTACAGAAATTATAGTATAGTATAGTATACATATTTATTTAATGCCATGTCAGCATCAAAGATTTTGATGGCAAAAACAATTTAAGTATAACAGATACAATAAAATACAGTAATGATAATTTAAAGGGAAATGTGCTTTAATGTCATGAAAATAATGCCACAAATCTTGCCACAAAATTTCTAAAAATAAGCTCATTATATACAGTTTTTTTTTTTTGTGAGATTCGCCCGTGTGTGTGTGTGTGTGTGTCTGTGTTATTGTGTTAATTAGACAGCCTGTATGGTGTGGAGAGGAAAAAAGATGTTTACGCACCTTCTCACTGTTACTGCTCATCTGACTCATAATTAAATGTTTCAAATATTTTTTCAATTAAATCATATCATAACTGTCAACATCACAGTGTTTTTATCTACTGTTTTCCTTTTCTCTGTATGTTTGTCTCCCGTGAGATATAATCTCAGGACAGGAAATTACTCTTAAGGGAGGCGATATCCCAGAATGCACTGCATACCTGCTTTGAGCCTTTTACCCTCGTTTAGTCTGTTTGTCTCTCCTCTCAGTTTTTCTCATCTCTCACTCTCTCTTCTGGAAGATGTTCAGTATCTGAGTGAATTCACATCAGTTCATCATTCACGGATCACAGTCCTGTGCTCATTTCCTTCATGTGTGCTGTGACCAGCTGTGAGATAAATCATTTTGATTGGACTGATGATGTAATCGAATCAGTCTTGGGAACTAAAGCTGTTTTATTATCAGAAAACATCACTACTCTTTTTTCACTTTATTGCAGCAACAACATCCCTTATTAACTAACTATCATTACAAATGTCTGAATGTGATTCATTAAATCAAGTGTGTGTCTGTATCAGTGCGTCTAGAATCTGATACATCTACATTCTACATCTGATAGAATTTTCTTTTCACAAATGTTCATTTTCTTTATTCTTAGCTGGTGATTTTTAGTGGATATATGACGTCAGTTCTATGGATGCTTGTTTCCACTACAGAATTAAAAAAAAAGATTGCAGCTTTTTTGTCCCTTTTTTCTAAGAAACAAAGTCAGAATTGCAAAACATAAGCTTGAGATGCTAAATCACAATTCTGAGAAGAAAGACTTTATGTCTCATAGTTAAGACTTTTCTTCTCAGAATTGGTCGTTTATAGCTCACAATTGCGGGAATCACGTAATTCAGCCTTTTCTCACAATTGCTAAGTAATATCTCACAATTTGGTATTTTTTTCTCAGAATAGGTAGTTTATATCTCGCAATTTCGGGAATTTCATAATTCAGCCTTTTTTTGCAATTGCTAGTTTATATCTCACAATTTAGACTTTTTTTCAGAATAGGTAGTTTATATTTCGTAATAGTGAGAATCTTGTATTTCAGAATTTGTTTTGCAATTGCTAGTTTATATCTCACAATTTAGACTTTTTTTCAGAATAGGTAGTTTATATCTCGCAATTGTGGGAATTTCATAATTCAGACTTTTTTTGCAATTGCTAGGTTATATCTTACAATTCGGACATTTCTTCTCAGAATAGGTAGTGAATAAATCTCGTAATTGCGGGAATCTTGTAATTTAGACTTTTTTTTTTCTTTCTCGCAATTCCTAGTTTATATCTCACAATTCAGACTTTTCTTCTCAGAATTGGTAGTTTATATCTCGTAATTTGGTCTTTTATTCTCAGAATAGGTAGTTTATATCTCGTAATCGCAGGAATCTTGTAATTCAGATGTTTTTTTTTGCAATTGCTAGTTTATATCTCACAATTCAGACTTTTCTTCTCAGAATTGGTAGTTTATATCTCACAATTTGGATATTTCTTCTCAGAACTGCTAGTTTATATCTCACAATTTGGATATTTCTTCTCTGAATAGGTCGTTTATATCTCACATTTGCGGGAATCTCGTAATTCAGCCTTTTTTCGCAATTGCTAGTTTATATCTTACAATTCAGACTTTTCTTCTCCAAATTGCAAGTAGAATTGCCCACAATTTTTAGAAAAACATTTTCAATTCAGTTCCAGATAAAACGGAATTGTGAGATAAAATAAACTTTTTTATTAATTTTTTAAAATTCCGTGTCAGAGTTAAGCTTCAAATTCACACAGATGTCAGATAATCTCATCAACTAGCACATCATCCACTAACCATAAACAGACAAATGCAATACTGTCTGTCTTCATTTTTAACTCTAGATCCGTTTTATCATATCAAACCGTACAAACATCTGTCTGTCATCTGTTTTGCTTGTAAAGTGTGTTTGTGCATCTTTTGTATGCACTTTGTATCTAATGAATGACATTCAGACATTAAGTGTCTTAAGTGTCCAGATACTGCTCCTAAACTACCACATCACTCTCTCCATCTGTCTGTCTGTCTCAAGGTTGTTTCTTGGCGTTCTTGCCAAACTTGTCACTGAGTTGCTGAATGAGGTCAGCCAGTTCTCCAGTGGCCTGAGATTTTTCTTCCAGAAGTTCGTAGCGCAGACTGGAGATGTCCTGTTTTATTTCCTTCAGTTCACCTTTAACACACACAGAGCTTAAGTTACTCATACCGTAGATAATCAGATTTTTACTTTTACACAAGAAAGTTTGAGTGATCAACAAGACACATGATTTGAGCTGACAGTCTTGGGTGAAATAAAACCAGAGCCTGCAGTAAATTTACTGGGTTTGTACCTTCATTAACTTCATCATTCTCTCCGTCGACCTGAGCCTTCAAAACATAGCGCTTAATCAAGCGCTTCATTATCTTCTGTTAGACAGACAGACATGAGGGAGAAAGAGCTCGTCAATTCAAACTGGCTGCATACAGAGATCATAATGAACTCTCTTCAGGTTCATATGGTTTGTTGAGTCTCTCACTTGATATCTTGTGGGGTTTTTGATGGGTTTCTTGACAGTGTTCTCCTCTCGGGTCCTGAGATTTGCTCGATGACGATCAGCCTAAAAAAAATGAAAGGCCAATATTCAACATGCATTACTGCTTTGAGTTTTCAGAATGTGAAACTGATTTTACACTGACATGTTTCATGTGTTATGAATAACCAGATGTGTTCGTTTTGTATCCATTACATTCTAAATATAATCAATCAAATAATATAGAGAGTAACTACATTTCACTTCAAAAACATGTAATTAATTAAAGGTATAAAAATAGGCATTAGCTCCTGATTATGTAATATGCCTTTTTTGCAATTTTCAAAACTATCTATCACTATATAAAGAAACCAATCACTGTATAAAATTATTACAAATAATATGCACTTTATTTATATTTATATTTATATCGTATATATATATATATATATATATATATAGTTTTTTAGACACACACACACACACACACACACACATAAATTCTGCACTTATTTATACAACTTTAATGATATTACTTTATATAAATGATATAACATTATATATTTTACACATATTGAATACTAAGTATAATCTATTCTACTAGTATAATTATAATTATATAAGAAGTATAATTAATTCTGCATTCTAAATGCAAAAGTCTTAGACTAAATGTGTTTTAGTCTAAATTCTCTCCAGTTTTCAGCATTAGTTCTCAATATAAGTTTTCTGATGCTGCATTTCGGAAGCTTACAGAGGCGAAACACTGCGAATACCAGATTTTAGCCATTTGTTCTTTAAATGACACTTGATTGAGTCTCACTGTCAAGATCATTTCCATTTAAAGGATCTTAATCAAAGTCTTTCTGTCCGTCTCAGACACAAAACTGCAGACGAGAGAGAACTGAGACATCAGGCAATCAGACAAGACATTCAGATCTGCTGTGAGACGGATTAAATTTAAAGAAAAATTACATCTACGATGCATGAAGAACTCAAATGTTGTTCAAAATCAAATATAAGTAGACACTTTTAGTGTGCAGTATGTGTTTTACCTTCGGGCGTGAATTGAGCATTCCCATCTCTAGCTCGTTTTCATGCTGATGACCTTTGCCCTTACACAGTCGTATAAGGCAGGACTTGACCCGGATGATCAGATAGTAGAAGGATTTTGGAGTGGGCACCAGGTTAAATGGCGCAGGCAGCGTCCGTCCTTCATCGAAATATGACAACCAGAGTTTAGCACGAGCAAACTTCCACTCCACATCAGCATCTTCCTGCAGAGATAGAGAGATTTATCAATTACATGGTGCAAGGTAAGTATAATCAGATGAATATGAAAAATTAGTTAGGTCAAAAGTAATCAAAAAACCTAAAATGTGTAATCTAATAGATTACGTTACTAACTACAGTTTTTCGTCATGTAATCATCAGTAATGGATTATTAAGTATAACATTCCCATCACTGCTTGTCAGGTAAATTTATCTTGCTTTAAGGAGATTTAGATATGTTTTTTTGTGAAACCAAGACTTCATTAAAATTAAGAATCAGTATTTTTTGCAGTAAACTCTTACCTCAATTTCCTGGTAGGAGCTGTTGATCATTGCGATCAGCATGTTGAGAAGAACCACCACCATGGTGACGTTATAAACCCCATACAAAATGTAACCGATGTTCTCGATGAACTTATGATCATACTTCAGAACCACAGAAACCACCTCCGACAGACCGAATATGGACCAGAACAGAGTCTTAAAGCTCTCCTCAACCCTGTCAACAAACACAGAGCAGAGGAACATTATTGCTCAGATGTTGCTCTTTCATTGATATTTTTTGTTTGTTTTTAGACAAACTAAACAAAACCAGTTTAAACCATTTTTTTCTAAATAAACAACTGAGAAAGCTTGTGATATGGATGGAGTTTGTGACAGAGACTTTTGTATCTTAGTAAATCTGGGCAGTTTGAGACCTGTTGCTATCTCTTCTAGAGATGAAACATATGAGATGTCTGGGGTCTTTTTCTCAGGAGAAACATCCGAGAGGAAGAAGAACTTCAGCAAGTCTTCAATTGAACACTTCTGTGATTGTGCTTTCTTGTGCACGAAACGTTTTTATTCCATCTGTGGCTGTGCCTGTTTTTATCAGAGAGCTGCATTCATGAGCTGAATGACTGCAGAATGAAGATGATGAATCACTCAGTGAATCAGATGGAGTGACGCTGGAGAACAGAAGAAAAGAGGCTCTGCCAAAGATGGAATATAAATCACCAACAAAAGTACTAAGGTTTGCATTGTGATTATTTTGAAGCACACTTTCTGTCCAAATTCTCACTGTTATGCATTTGGATACTTTTTTGTAATGTAAACAATAATAATATTTTAAAATATTTTTAATATACATTTTTAAGTTTTTTTTCAGCAATGGTACCACAACGAATACTACCATGACGCATAAATATTTAACAATTAAAATTATATATTATTATGTGTTTCATATTACAATGCTGCACATTTGGGGTAAAATGCCATTAATTGTAATGAAAAATGCCACAATGCAAAAAATAAAATAAATAAATAAGGTTTAATTTTCTTCATGTAAAATAAAAAATTAATTATTATTAATTTTGGGGTGTAATTAGGGTGTAATTATGAGCAGATTTTGTAAGATTCACGCAGATACTCTTTCACATTTATAATATTATAAATAAATAAGTACATACATACACACATACATACTGTCAGCGAATCACCACAATCACCAGCTCTGGACTCCATGTCCCAGAATCCTCCCCGGCTCACACCTGTTCTCAGTCACGATCACTATCACCTGAGTTCTGATTCCCCGCACCTGTCATCTGCAATCAAGTCACCATTCATAAGCATGCTACTTCCAATCACTCACCGTTCGGTCTACTGTTCACGACGCAGAACTTTACCAGACTCACTGAATGCAACTTACATGTTTATTCTTACCTCTAGTTCTCCGAAGATCTTCCATCGTTGTTCTCCTCTGCTCCGGTATTCTCCGCAAACCTGCATAGAACCAAACGTCAATCCACCGCTAAGAATCATTGGACTTTACTTTGTGTTGAATTCTCACCTGCTATTGCTCCAGACTATCTGCCTTTGCCATACCTGTCAATAAACCTGCTTTTCATTCACTTACCTGTTGTCTCTGGCTTGATCTGTGACAACAGACCGGACCAAAAAAACAAAATGCTTCTCTCCGCAGCTATGGAAGTTGCTGCGTAGTTTGCCGCCCTAGCTCCCCAGGATCTCCCATTTGTGGAGTATGCTAGGGAGTCCTGCGGGATTGCCGTGAGCATGGCGTTAGACGATGCAACGCTCAACTCTCTGTTCTGGATCGGGGCCAACTACCATCGCCCTGTGGTCCTCCAAGACACTACTGGACTGAGCTGGAGGGAAGGGATCCTCCGGTGTCTAGTGAGGGTCCATCCCCGATCCAGAACCAGCTCGCCGTCAAGTCTGCCAGCCGTTCCGAAGCCAAGCCTGCCAGCCGCGGCATTCACAAGCCCGCCGCTCGTGGCTCTCTCCAGCCCGCTGGCCATTCCTCAGTCAAGCCCGCCGGCCGAAGGCTCACTCAAGCCCGCCGACCACACCTTTGATCCCAAACCTAGAGGGGAATCTAAGGAGGAGAAAGTGTTGGCTCCAGCCCCCGAGCTCGCGCCAGTGTCGGCTCCAGCCCCCGAGCTCGCGCCAGTGTCGGCTCCAGCCAATGGCCTTCTGAGTTCCCTGCTCCGCCGTGGCCTCCTGAACTGCCTCCTCCGCCATGGCCTCCTAGTCTGCCTGCTCTGCCATGGCTCCCTCATGGCCCCTGAGCTCCCTGTGCCACCATGGTACCCTGGACTGCCTGATCCGCCCTGGAGGTATTCCCTGTGTCCCAGTCCTGCACCAGTTCACTCTCTACGGTTCACTACACAGAACTTTACCAGACTCCCTAAATGCAACTTGCCTGTTTATTCTTACCTCTAGTTCTCCAAAGATCTTCCACCGTTGTTCTCCTCTGCTCCTGGATCCCCTATTCTCCACGAACCTGCAAAGAACCAAACATCAATACACCGCTAAGAATCATTGGACTTTACTTTGAGTTCTCACCTGCCATTGCTCCAGACTATCTACCTTTGCCATACTTGTCAATAAACCTGCCTTTTATTCACTTACCTGTTGTCTCTGGCTTGATCTGTGACGCATGCATACATAAAGGTCCTAAAAATAGGATTAATTTGCCTCATGTAAAATAAAAATTTCTTTATGATTTTAGGGTGAAATATGAGCAGATTGATTCATGCAGATTATTTCACTCTTGTGTATAATTTGGCAACAATTATATATTAAATATAATTGCATTCACTTTTCTTCCTTTTTTTTTTTTTTTTTCACTGTAAAATTTTCCTTTTTTAATTTAAGTCTCTCTATTTAACACTTGATATTTTCTCAGTCTTTCATTCATTATTAATATATCTAGATGTGGTTTAGAGTTTCTCTCCATCTCTAGCAATTTATTTGAATTCAAACAGTAGGTATATTATAGCCATGAGCAACTGGTTTTATTAACATGTAAATCATATTAGAAAGAGACCATTCAAAAAAAATTATCCACCTAAGAAGTTCTTCTACCGCTTCTGTTATGATCTCTCTCTCTCTCTCTCGCTCTCTCTCGCTCTCTCTCGCTCTCTCTCTCTCTCTCTCTCTCTCTCTCCATTTACCCTCATAAATTACATCTTCTCTTTATTGTTCTTAATGACACTTATTTTCAACTCATCTTTCCTGTTTTCCATCCATTAGTCTCTCTAAAGAAAGACTGGCCCAAATATTAGCGGGAGATTAGATGCCATCACGACGCCGATCAGAATGATGAAACCAGCTCGTCTGTTTAATATTAAAAATATTCTTTTGTGTGATGAGAGATGAAAACTTTAGTTCCTCTGTCATTCTTTAGATGGTTGCTGACAAGATCAAAAGCTAATAAATGTGTGTGAGCTAAAACTGACCCCTAAAGTAAATCTGACAAAACCTCAGTGACACCTAGTGACAATCTGTCAAGAAAAACAAGTCAGCTCAATTTAGAGAAGAGCCTTAATGGAATAACTCACCCAAAAAGTTACATTTGCTGAAAAGGTACTCACTCTCAGGCCATCCATGATGCAAATGAGTTTGTTTCTTCATCAGATTTGGAGAAATGTAGCATTACATCACTTGCTCATCAGTGGATCCTCTGCAGTGAATGGGTGCCGTCAGAATGAGAGTCCAATCAGCTGATAAAAACCACAATAATCCAAAAGTAATCCACACCACTCCAGTCCATCAATTAAAGTCTTATGAAGCTAAAAGCTGCATGTTTGTAAGAAACAAATCTATATAAGACGTTTTAACTTCAAACCATTGATAAAATATGAGTCCTCTATCCATACTATTGCTTTCTCAAGGGAATGTCATGAAAAACAGTCCAAAACAGTTCTAAACAAATATATATATCTCATTTTGACGGCACCTATTCACTGCAGAGGATCCATTGGTGAGCAAGTGATGTAATGCTACATTTCTCCAAATCTGTTCCCATGAAAAAACAAAAACATCCACATCTTGGATGGCCTGAGGGTGAGTATATTTTAAGAAAACTTTCAATTTTGGATTAACTAATTCTTTAAGACATGTATCCTTCTCTGAAAAGGCAATCCCGAAATTCACTGCAATAGGATAATAACTTGATAATAAAAGAGAAATGATTACAATGCCCTGCTTCATATTTGCTGAATAAAATTCAACACTTGTTTTTGACTAATTGTGGGCTGATGATTCTAAACGTGTCTGTTTTGCTTTGAGCATGTGACACTTTCTCACAAAATATGATGAAAAGCATTTTTGCTTTTCACAACTATTTGTAAGGTGAAGTCATCTTGTATTCTCCCTTAATCAGTAGAACAACTGTCACAAAGACATGATTCCAGTCTTCCTCTGAGCCAGATTACAACTATTTCTTTCATTCTCAGCTCATTTTCACACATATGAATGATTGTGAACAGTCCAATGATTGTGCTATGTTCAAACAGTGACAGAAAATTACAGATTTTGTGAAAATAAAAAGCTTATTTTGTAAAGTTGTTTTCACCATATATATATTTTCTCTATATATATATATATATATATATATATATATATATATATATATATATATATATATATACACACACACAGTATATATCAAATTAGGTAATATTAGGTCAGAATTATTATTAGATTTGTGACCCTGGACCACAAAACCAGCCATAAGTAATACAGGTATATTTGTAGCAATAGCCAACAATACATTGTATGGGTCAAAATTATCGATTTTTCTTTTATGCCAAAAATCTTTAGGATATTAAGTAAAGATCATGTTCCATGAAGATATTTTGTAAATGTCCTACCGTAAATATGTCAAAACTTAATTTTTTATTAGTAATATGCTAAAAACTTTATTTGGACAAATTTAAAGGCAATTTTCTCAGTATTTAGATTTTTTTTTTTGCACTCTCAGATTCCACATTTTCAAATAGTTGTATCTCAGCCAAATATTGTCCTATCCTTATTTATTCAGCTTTCAGATGATGTATAAATCTCAATTTTAAAAAAATTACCGTTATGACTGGTTTTGTGTTCCAGGGTCACATTTTATAAATATACAGTATTTAATTCACTATTGAAAAGAATCAATAACAATTGTGAGTTACACTATTTATGTAACGCTTCAAATCCATCACTTACGAGGTT